GTGGTCAGTGGCGGGGTTGCCCTGGTTGATGCCCTTTCCCAGTTGGCAGTGGGAGGGTGAGAAGGCCCCCTCCTGTCCATTTTGTGGGTGGGGGGGCCTTCTCTTTGCCCCCTCCCTCCCTTTTCCCACTTGCTTTGATGCCCTGCCCCCCCCCCACCCCACTCTCCATTTTCCTCTCCCCCACCCCCCCGCCTTCTGCAGTGGCGCTGCCCAACTTTGGCGTGCTTGACTTTGCCGCGCAAACGTTCCTCTAATGGCAGGAGATGGAATGATGGAGGGACGGGAGGAGATGAGCGGAGCGCGGCTCTATTAACGGTTTTCAGTGTCTAATTAAATGCAAATAACTAGCATTAAAGCCCCATTACGGCTGAGCATCCAAGCCCTCCAAAGTTGGGAAGTTGGCAAAGTGGGGAGGGGGCCGCTCTTGTCTCCTCGCCTGCAGGTGGGAGGGGGAGGGAGGGAGGGAGGGGAGGGGAGGCAGCGCTGGGAGGCGGGGGGGGCTTCCCTGGCCAGGTAGAGCCCCCCCCCCGAGCCTATTACCCTCCACCTCCACTTTGGACGTGTGTTTGGGGGGCTGGTCCCAATCACACAAACCCCCTCCCCACAAACACACCCATAGAAGGCATCCCTCTCTTTCCTCGCATTGCTTTTGCCCTCTTGACCCCCCATAGCCCATGTCTGCCATTCTCAGTGGCATTCTCAGCCCCCACCCCAGGCTCTTCTTCTGCCCCCCCCTTTGGTTCTGTCTCTTCCTGCCCCCCATTTTGGGGAAGGGGGCTGCAGGAGGGGGCTTTGGTGGCGCAGGGAGGGTGGCCTTGGCCGGAGGACCCTCCCCTTCTCTCCCCTTTCTCCCCAACTATTCCCTGCATACCCCCCCTCGCCCTGTGCCCCCTCCCTCCCCGTGCCCCCCACCCCATCGGCTGCTCGCTCGGCGGGGGCCGGGGGCGCGCGATTGGCTCTGCGAACCCGGCTGCCTTGCCTGCTGTGATCATGTCACGTTGGGCTCCGCCGATGTTAACATCTCATTATCTTTGTTACTGTAATTACATTATCCGCTGCTTTATGCAGAATTATTCTCCAAGGACTAATTGATGGATCCATGTTTAATTCATTAATCATTAGCATCAAATTCGACAATTACAGTGCACACTGATTGTGGAATTTCAAATGTAATGAGGGAAGAATTAACAAAGAAAAGGGAACCCTGGCTCGCCCGCGCTCGGCTCCAATGCCGGGATATGGGGGGGGGGGGGCATTGCGGCAGGGCTTTATATGGGGGGGAGGGCAGGGCAGCAAGCAACCCTTGGCCTTTGTGGGGAGGGGGCTGCTGGGGAACTGGCCTGAGACCCCTCCTCCGCTGGGGATTCATTGTGTCCGCTCACCCCTCCCGACTCACCTGATGGACACGGAGCCCCCCCCCCCCTCCCAGGGCTGAAAGGACCCACCTTGGACCAGAATCTCTTTGCCTTTGCATAGCTGGGAGGCATGGGGTGTGTTTGTGTGGGGGGTGGGTGGGTGGGAGAGTATCCCTGGCTCTGGAGAGCACACTGGCTGCCCCCCCCCATGGAGTGTGTGGGGAGGGTGAGAAAATCCTTGGCCCTGGGGAGCACACTGGCTGCCCCCCCCCCATGGAGTGTGTGGGGAGGGTTGAGAGTATCCCTGGCTCTGGGGAGCACACTGGCTGCCCCCCCATGGGGTGTGTGTGTGGGGGGGGTGAGAGTATCCTTGGCCCTGGGGAGCACACTGGCTGCCCCCCCCCATGGAGTGTGTGGGGAGGGTGAGAAAATCCTTGGCCCTGGGGAGCACACTGGCTGCCCCCCCCCCATGGGGTGTGTGTGGGGGGGGTGAGAGTATCCTTGGCCCTGGGGAGTGCACTGGCTGCCGCCCCCCCTTGCAAGGCTTCCTCCCCACCCCATTCCCCATTCCCCACAAAGCCAGCCTCAACATCTGCAGGGATCCCTCTGGCACACAGGTGCTGCTCCAGAGCCGGCCCCACACACCTCCCATCATGCCCCCCCCCCCACACTTGCCATGCCTTTCCAGGTGCTTCCCTCTGCACCCCCCATGCTACCCCGCATTGAGGCCCCTCAGAGCAGAGCTGATGCCAACAACCCCCTCTGGCTCTGTTTTCTCCCAGAGTGCCCCCCCCTTTTTGGCACCCGTGCATTAATTGTGTACTGTACAGGGGCGGCTCAACCCATTACGCAAAGTAAGCATTTGCAGTAGAGTTGATTTTGCCCAGGGGCGCTCTTGAGGCGCTCTTGGGGGAAAATAGACCTTGACATATGCGAGTTGTAGTTACTGGGATGTATAGTTCACCTACAATCAAAGAACATTCTGAACTCCACCAATGATGGAATTGAACCAAATGGGGCACACAGAACTTGTTGGCGTTAGCAGAGAATCGCAGAAGCTCAGAATAATGGACTCTGGAGTCTCCGGTAAAAGCAGGTTTTCAGCTTTACTTAAGCAGCTCAAAATAGACAACATACACCATCAGCGGACAGACGTGAAGAACACAAACCGAAAGAGATAGGAACTAATACAAACTGCAGCTGGAAGGGAGTTTATCTCTGGCACTCCCTAATCTTGCACAGAGCAAGAACTCAGGGTCACATTCTCACAGCTTGTTACTTTGCTGTTTAACCCTTCTGCGTCAAAATACATCCTGGCAATACAATTCTATTACAATCACAATCCTATCACATAAAATTACATTTAAACACACATCATACATGAATTACACACTGACAGAACTCCCATGACGAACAGAAAATATATATCACTGATTGGTTGGGGGGCGCCAAAATACTGTTTGTTTACCGTTGAAAATTACCTAGGGCCGCCTCTGCTTGGACAGGCCAAAGGGTGTGGGGGCCACCACAGGGCAGGCTCCCCTGACCCCTTTTGGCCCTCCTGTCTCTCTGCCCCAGGACCTCCCTTCCCCATTGTGCCCTTCCCCTCTGGGCCACTCCACCCTAAGATGAAACGGGACTCATAAACAAGGCGTTCCTCCTTGTATTTGGGAGGGATCCCTCCTCTTATCCCTGGAATCTCTTTCCTGTGCAAAGGCAGCCCTTCGGGTGTGTCGAGGAGGAAAAGGTGGTGCTGGGGGTCTGCCCAGCCTCTGGCCCCCTTCTTTCCCCCAGAAGCCCCCCCCCCCCAGAAATGGCCCCCATTGAGAGGGTGGGTTTGGTGGCGCAGGGGGGTCCCTTGTGTTGCAGGAGGGCGCCAGGGCAGCAAAGGGTGATCCAGGGGGTGGGGACCGCTTTGGGGAGGGGGCCAGGGAGGGTCTCTGGTGGCGGCTGCTCCTCCTCCCCCTCATCCCCCCCCCCAGCCCGGAAAAAGGCAGCCCGAGAGAGGGAGATGGATGCGGCAGCAGCCGGGAGGGAGCCGAGCAGCAGCTAATTACCCTTCCGAGTGTGTCTTGTAAATTAAGGGCTAATTAGAGCCAAAGTCAGTGTCACGGTTTTACACGTGTTTCGGAGGCGCTTGGGGGGCGCGGGGGTGGGGGGGGGCTGGGGCAAAGAGCAGCCGGTCCTGTCGCTCATATTGAAGGGGGGAGAGTGGGGGAGGGAGGGGGCTCGGGGGGAGTGCCCCTCCCCCATACCTTCCCCCTCGACACAGGCCTTCAGGGCGAGGGGCACAGAGGGTCCGAGTGCCACCAGGGGCTTCCTGACCTTCATCCCAATTCCCCCCTCCCCTGGCACATCTTCCAGCCGTATGTTGCCTCCCCCCCCCCCCCCCCCGATTGTCAGCCGGACAAGACCCCCTGCTGGCCAAATGCAAAACACTGGTGGTCAATTCAAGGATGGTGCTCTCCTCCTGACCAATTGAGGTTCCAGTTCAGCCTGCCCCCCCCCCCCCGAACTACCCAGGGTTTGCTGTTGCCAGAAGTGCTGGACTGGGAGAAGCCAGAGACAGGGGGGGCTGTTGGCCTTTGCCAGGTGACAGAAGGAGACACTGGGAGGTCCAGCTCAGCAGCACCTGGGGACACCTGCCCAGGTCCCACCTCTGCCCAAGATCCACCGGAGAAGGCCTCTGCCTTTGTGGCCAAGAGAGGCAGGGAAGCCAGGCCCTTCCTTCACTCACTGGCCTTCATGCTGAAGCCCTCACCCCAATGACCCTCAGCTCCTTGTCTTGACCTGGTCAGCATGGGTCTGAGGGAGACCCCATTCCCTTGCCCTCTCTCCCCCTACATTGACTTTGGTTATCTGTATCTCATAGGGTGGTCCTGGACCCCTTTCCCTGGTATCGGGGGTCTTGGAGGTGTTTAGAGTACTGGGGAATCTGTTTGGCTCAGAAAGAACCCTCAGTTGGGGTGATTCCACCATAAATATAGCACAGGACCAGAAGTAAACTTCATAACCGAGATGTGGTGAAACTGGGAGCCGTTCAGCAGTGGAACTCTCTGCCCCGGAGTGTGGTGGAGGCTCCTTCTTTGGAAGCTTTGAAACAGAGGCTGGATGGCCATCTGTCAGGGGTGATTTGAATGCAATGTTCCTGCTTCTTGGCAGAATGGGGTTGGACTGGATGGCCCAGGAGGTCTCTTCCAACTCTGTCATTCTATGATTCTATGAAGCTTCTATATCTTAGGATGGATCAGGATTGCAGAGATTCTCGCTCTCTCGCTTTCTCTTTCTATCTCTCTCCCCATATGTGTGTGTTTGTGTGTGTGTGTGTAAAAGGAGTACATTCTTGATAGATAAGACCTTGGAGCCAACTAGCTTACTCAGTCTCATCTTCTAAAGTGGTAAAAGGGTAAAAAGTCCATGCAGGAATATTTTGCCTAGAGAGAGGCAAAATGCGTCCTCACTGGAAGGAAGAAAAGGCAGAAGAGAACAATGGTGGAGACCACATGGTCATCCCAGGGCAATAAAACTGAAAAAGGAAGTTCCCTCACAGAATCCCATTCCTGTGTCATTAAAGGGGGGAGGAGAGAGTGGCTAGCAGAAGGAGGAAAGACAAAGTTTGTGTTGGGAAACATTCAAGGGGAAAGGAATCATAGAGTCAAAGAATCCTAGAGTGGGAAGAGACCTCATGGGCCATCCAGTCCAACCCCATTCTGCCAAGAAGCAGGAACATTGCATTCAAAGCACTCAAATCCCTCAGCTCAACCCGTCTCTAGCCTAGCTACTCATTGAGGACTGGAAACTTGATGACACAAGAGACTTGTGCAGCCCAGGGATGAAAACCAACACAGAGTTCATTTCCTTCGGCCACAACTCTGACCTCCTCTCCCCCCCCCCCCACTTTATTTTTCTGGTTATTTAATATTTAATGCTTATTTTACGTAAGCGATATTTGTCTTTACTGTAGCACAAATCATATTATGTATTTTTGACATTAATATTGAAATCTGGAATTCATAGAATCATAGAATCCTAGAGTTGGAAGAGACCTCCTGGGCCATCATCCAGTCCAACCCCATTCTGCCAAGAAGCAGGAATATTGCATTCAAATCACCCCTGACAGATGGCCATCCAGCCTCTGTTTAAAAGCTTCCAAAGAAGGAGCCTCCACCACACTCTGGAGCAGAGAGTTCCACTGCTGAACGGCTCTCACAGTCAGGAAGTTCTTCCTCATGTTCAGATGGAATCTCCTCTCTTGTAGTTTGAAGCCATTGTTCCGCGTCCTAGTCTCCAAGGGAAGCAGAAAGGAAGCTTGCTCCCTCCTCCTCCCTGTGGCTTCCCCTCATATTTATACATGGCTATCATATCTCCTCTCAGAGTGTCTGTATTTCTGTGCTCACAGGTGCCCCCCACTTGGCCAGCAGCACCTCTCTGCTCTCGGAGCGCTCGGGCAGCGGCACCAACCTGGTCAGCTTCGGTGTGAAGCCAGAGTCGTCTGGCAGCGGCGGCGGCAGCGGGATGCACCAGCGCTCCTACTCGGTCTCCAGCGCTGACCAGTGGAGCGAAGCCGTCGTCATTCCCAGCACTGGGGGCAACCCAGGTGAGTGGCACCTCTCTTCTGCTGGGGGGGGGGGGGGAGGGGGGTGGTGGGGGCTCCTTCCTCTGGGTGGCAGGGCATTGGGTGACCACCGGGTCCCCCTCTACCTGGGTTTTTGGGGAGCTGCCTTTTGGTTCCATGCAATTGGCGGGTGACAAGTTAGGATGGCCACCTGACTCTTGCAGTTGTTAGAAGTATAGAATCATTGAGTTGGAAAGGGCCCTGGGGGCCCTCCAGTCTGGCCCCTTTCTCCAAGGTGAGAAGCACTCCTGGCAGATGGCCACCCAGAGAAGGAGGCTCCATTGGGTCCCCCTCCACCTTCCCCATCCCGGTACCACCTGGGTTTTTGGGGAGTTGCCTTTTGGATCCATGGAATTGGTGGGTGACAAGTTAGGATAGCCACCCGCCTCTTTTGCAGTTGTTAGAAGTATAGAATCGTAGAGTTGGAAGGGGCCCTGGGGGCCATCCAGTCTGGCCCCTTTCTCCCAGAAGAGAAGGATCAATACAAGCACTCCTGGCAGATGGCTGCCCAGAGAAGAAGGCCCCATGTTCCATTGAGTTGCTGTGACTTTTCTGGGCTATCTGGCCATGTTCCAGAAGCATTTTGTCCACATCTGTGGCAGGCATCCTCAGAGGTTGAGGCATCTTCCACTGCTGATGACAACTCCCCCCATCAGGGGTTCTGCCTCAGGCTTAGGAAGAGTGGATGTTGGGGGGGGGGGGGGAGGAGGAGTTTGAGGTCATGGTGGTGGTGCTCTTGGATGTGGGGCCAAGGTCAGACCTGGAGGGGAGAAAGAAGGACTCCCTTTGGAGCGGATGCCGGTGGCTGGGATGGCTGGCCATTTGTGGTCAGCGAGGGAGCCAAGTCATAGAATCCTAGAATCCTAGAAGAGTTGGAAGAGACCTCCTGGGCCATCATCCAGTCCAACCCCATTCTGCCAAGAAGCAGGAATATTGCATTCAAATCACCCCTGACAGATGGCCATCCAGCCTCTGTTTCAAAGCTTCCAAAGAAGGAGCCTCCACCACACTCCGGGGCAGAGAGTTCCACTGCTGAACGGCTCTCACAGTCAGGAAGTTCATCCTAGAGTTGGAAGAGACCTCCTGGGCCATCCCAGTCCAACCCCATTCTGCCAAGAAGCAGGAATATTGCATTCAAATCACCCCTGACAGATGGCCATCCAGCCTCTGTAAAAGCTTCCAAAGAAGGAGCCTCCACCACACTCCGGGGCAGAGAGTTCCACTGCTGAACGGCTCTCAGTCAGGAAGTTCTTCCTCATGTTCAGATGGAATCTCCTTTCTTGTAGTTTGAAGCCATTGTTCCGCGTCCTATTCTCCAGGGAAGCAGAAAACAAGCTTGCTCCCTCCTCCCTGTGGCTTCCTCTCACATATTTATACATGGCTATCATATCTCCTCTCAGCCTTCTCTTCCTCAGGCTAAACATGCCCAGCTCCTTAAGCCGCTCCTCATAGGGCTTGTTCTCCAGACCCTGATCTGCTCCCTCCTCCCTGTGGCTTCCTCTCACATATTGATACATGGCCCTCATCATATCTCCTCTCAGCCTTCTCTTCTTCAGGCTAAACATGCCCAGCTCCTTAAGCCGCTCCTCATAGGGCTTGTTCTCCAGACCCTTGATCATTTTAGTCACCCTCCTCTGGACACATTCCAGCTTAGAGTCAATATCTGTCTTGAATTGTGGTGCCCCGAACTGGACACAATATTCCAGGTGTGGTTTGTCTTGGGGGGCAGACACTTTTCCCCAGAGAAGGGTGGCCTACTCCGAAGACTGGGATTTCTCCTCCCCGCTCCGCTCTCCCGTTCTCTCGCCCGCCCGCCCTCCCGCTGCCTGGGTGTTCCAGGACAGTTGAGTGAATTAAAATAATTCATACATTTCCCAACGCAGCCACTTTGCTGAATTGGAAAATAAATGCTTCTGTGCGGCATCCATCACTCGGTGCTTCCTGGCCCCGCCGACGATGCCTCTGCCGCCGCCGCTGCCGCCGCTGCCGCCACCGCACTAAAAAAGCAGTTAAATGCACATCAAGAGTGGCGGAGGCATTTCCATGGCTGCGCGGCCCCTTGTCGTTCTCATTAGCGCGGCGGCGGCCCCCCCTCCGCTCCCAGGGGCTTTCGCAGTTTAAAGAGAGCCTCTTTATGATCATTACCGGAGTCCGACTGCGCCGACGCCATTTGGAGCTGGGGAGCCTCCTCATTTGTAACTGTGAAAAACTATCAATTTCAGCGCGGCTGGTGCAGCGCCTCCATCATCGGCCCCATCAGCTCCCTGCTGGAAGCGAATTAATCAGACTGTTACTGCTGATGGGGCAGAGCCAGAGCGAGAGAGAGAGAGAGAGAGAGAGAGAACGGGGGAAGGAGGAAAGGAAGGGACGGAAGAGAGGGGGGGGTGCCGGGGGCAGCCAGCCAGAGGGGTCTGGGCATTGGCCTTGGCCGGTTCGTGGGGTACCCCATGGCCCCTGGTCTCATTGGGGCAGAGGGAGCAGGGCACGACTGTCCAGAAATCGGAGGAACAAGAAGGTGGGGGATATGGGGGGCTGCCCACCCCCCCAAAGTACCCATCCTCCCCCCAAAGTACCCATCCAGGTGTGGAGACCCCTCCCCATCAAGACAGCCCCTGGTCTCATTGGGGCAGGGGGAGCAGGGCACGACTGTCCAGAAATCAGAGGAACAAGAAAGTAGGGGAATATGGGGGGCTGCCCACCCCCCCAAAGTACCCATCCAGGTGTGAAGAGACCCCTCCCCATCAAGTCAGCCCCTGGTCACATTGGGGCAAAGGGAGCAGGGCACGACTGTCCAAAAATCAGAGGAACAAGAAAGTAGGGGAATACAGGGGGGGGGCTGCCCCCCCAAAGTACCCATCCAGGTGAGAAGAGACCCCTCCCCATCAAGTCAGCCCCTGGTCACATTGGGGCAAAGGGAGCAGGGCACGACTGTCCAGAAATCGGAGGAAGAAGAAAGTGGAGGAATATGGGGGGCTGCCCCCCCCCAAAGTACCCATCCAGGTGTGAAGAGGCCCCTCCCCATCAAGACAGCCCGTGGTCTCATTGGGGCAAAGGGAGCAGGGCACGACTGTCCAAAAATCAGAGGAACAAGAAAGTAGGGGAATACAGGGGGGGGGCTGCCCCCCCAAAGTACCCATCCAGGTGAGAAGAGACCCCTCCCCATCAAGTCAGCCCCTGGTCACATTGGGGCAAAGGGAGCAGGGCACGACTGTCCAGAAATCAGTGGAAGAAGAAAGTAGGGGAATATGGGGGGCTGCCTCCCCTAAGTAGCCATCCAGGTGAGAAGAGACCCCTCCCCCATGAAGACAGCCAGCTAGGCTCCCCCTGGTCTCATTGGGGCAGAAGGAGCAAGGCATGACTGCCCAGAAATCAGAGGAAGAAGAAAGTAGGGGAATATGGGGGGGCTGTCCACTCCCCCCCCAAAGTAGCCATCCAGGTGTGAAGAGACCCCTCCCCATCAAGACAGCCCCTGGTCTCATTGGGTCAAAGGGAGCAAGGCATGACTGTCCAGGATTCAGAGGAAGACGAAAGTAGGGGAATATGGGGGGCTGCCCCCCCCCCCAAAGTAGCCATCCAGGTGAGAAGAGACCCCTCCCCATCAAGGCAGCCAGCTAGGCTCCCCCTGGTCTCATTGGGGCAGAAGGAGCAGGGCACGACTGTCCAGAAATCTGAGGAAGTAGAAAGTGGGGGAATATGGGGGGCTCCCCACCCCCAAAGTACCCATCCAGGTGCGAAGAGACCCCTCCCCATCAAGGCAGCCCCTGATCTCATTGGGGCAGAGGGAGCAGGGCATGACTGTCTAGAATTTGAAGCAGAAAGTGGGGGAATATGGGGGGCTCCCCCCCCCCAAAGTACCCATCCAGGTGAGAAGAGACCCCACCCCATCAAGACAGCCGGCTGGGCTCTCCCTGGCCTCATTGGGGCAGAGGGAGCAGGGCATGACTGTCCAGAAATAGGAGGAACAAAAAAGTAGGGGAATATGAGGGTCCATGTCAGCCCACCCCAAAGTACCCATCCTACTGAGAAGAGACCCCTCCCCATCAAGATAGCTGGCTGGGCTCCCCCAGAACTTCCTTCCATGGGACATCTGTAGCAGCCATGTTTGCACTGTAGGTTTGGAAGGGACCCCAAGGGCTATCAACTCCATCCTGCAGGAGCACACAATCCAAGCCCTCCCGACAGAGGCCCATCTGGACTTTGCTTGAAAAGCTCCAGAGAAGGAAGGCGACTCCACTGGACTCTGAGGGAGAAGAGCCCCATGAGGCTGGACTCTTGAGCCAGGCTGAAGGCTTGCACAGGCCTGGGAGCCCCCTCCCCAATCCTCAGGGCCCACCTTGGCTTCCTGCAGCTGGAGCTCCATGGAGCCAGCCGGTCAGAGGGGCCTGGGCATTGGCCTGGCCAGTTTGTGGGGCAGGGGGAGGGCATGGCCTCTGGCCTCATTGGGGCAGAGGGAGCAGGGCATGACTGTCCAGAAATCGGAGGAAGAAGAAAGTGGGGGAATATGGGGGGCTGCCCCTCCCCAAAGTACCCATCCAGGTGAGAAGAGACCCCTCCCCATGCCAGCAGCCATGTTGGGGGGGGGGGGCTCAAAAGCCCTGTGTGGCTGGACTCTTGAGCCAGGCTGATGGCTTGCACAGGCCTGGGAGCCCCCTCCCCATTCCTAAGGTCCCACCTTGGCTTCCTGCAGCTGGAGCTCCATGGAGCAAACCTCACCATGCAACTGTGGGTCCAGCGGAGGCTCCTTCTTTGGAGGCTTTTAAACAGAGGCGGGGTGGCCATCTGTCAGGGGTGATTTGATTGTGTCACTCAGCAGGAGGTCCCCGGTGCCTATTTTGGGGGCTCCTGTCTGTCAAGGGAGGCCCACCTGCCCTTAGCAGGGATACCATTCAGACGATGACTGGGGGGGGGGGGGGGCATTGGAAGAGGCGCCCCCCCTCCTGCCTCAGGGCTTCCTTGCTTCCAGGGCTTTGGGGGCTCTTCTGTAATGGTGCCCCCATTTGTGGGCTTCTTTGCCCCCCTCCCCGGCTCGCTCTTCCCCTGAGAAGCCCTTTCTGCCCCCTTAGGCTTGGGGGGCTGTTCCAGGTCCCACCCATTTGCTGGCCTTGGCTTCTGAGGTGGGGGGTCTGGAGTGCATTCCCCCCCCCCAAGCAAAGCACCCTGATCCAAGCCCCGCTTGTCCTCCTCCTGAGTTTGGGCTGGGCCTTGAGTGATGGGGGGGGGCTGTCGGAGTGCGGGGGGGGGGGGCTTCCGCAGCCTGTTGATTGGGAGCAGAGGCACGCGGCTCCGCGGCTGGAATTGAATGTCATCCTTCTGATTTTGTTGCTGGTCTCTAATGAAATTTGACATTTAATGGAGAGAAGCACGGCGGCGCCTCGCCTGTGTGAGAGTGCGTGCGTGCGTGCGTGCGCCCGTGTGCGATCGGAGCTTGATTAGTGCGCTCTAATTGACAGTAATTAGCCAGCTCCCTGATTGTTTCTAATTCTGCTATTAATTGTAAGGAACAGTATGATTGAGGATAAATTTGGCGCATGGCAGCCAGCCGGGATATGACGACGGAGGCTCTTCAGCGCCACCGAGGGCGGGGGGCGGCGGAGCAGGAAGGGGAGGGTGGGGAGGCGGAGGGGGCCTGGCCCAAAATGGGGGGGAGGGGAGCAGGAGAGGAGGGGGCCTGCTCCCCCCCCTTTCTGCAAAGGCACTTTTGGCCAGGCTGGGCTTCTGATCTGGGAGAGGAAGGGGGCCGGATCCCTGGTTGATCTCTGGTCAGTCCACCGGTCAGCTGAGGACTGTCAGCCAAGGACCGGTCAGCAGAGAGCCATGACTGACCCCTCTTTTTTCTCCCTCCCTCTCCTCCCTGTCAGGCTGGGCTTCTGATCTGGGGGAGGAAGGGGGCCGGATTCCTGGTTGATCTCTGGTCAGTCCACCGGTCAGCCAAGGACCAGTCCTCCAGCCAGCCAAGGACCGGTCAGCAGAGGGCCATGACTGACCCCTCTCTTTCTCCCTCCCTCCCCTCCCCGTCAGGCTGGGCTTCTGATCTGGGGGGAGGAAGGGGGCCGGATACCTGGTTGATCTCTGGTCAGTTGACCGGTCAGCCGAGGGCCGGGCCGTGACTGACCCCTCTCTTTCTCCCTCCCTCCCCTCCCTCCCCGTCAGGCTGGGCTTCTGATCTGGGGGGAGGAAGGGGGCCGGATACCTGGTTGATCTCTGGTCAGTTGACCGGTCAGCCGAGGGCCATGACTGAGCCCTCTCTTTCTCCCTCCCTCCCCTCCCTCCCTGTCAGGCTGGGCTTCCGATCTGGGGGGAGGAAGGGGGCCGGCTGCCTGGTTGATCTCTGGTCATCCTGACTGACCCCTCTCTTTCTCTCTCCCCCCCACAGCCAATGGTGGCGGGGGCACAGTGGACTCCCTGAGCTCCAGCCCCAACGTCTCCAGTGCGGCCAGTCCCAAGCTGGAGCCCCCGCCCTCCCCGCACGCCAACCGGAAGAAGCACCGGCGGAAAAAGAGCACCGGCTCCACGCGGCCAGAGGGGGGCGGCACCGCGGCCGAAGGTACCTTTCCCAAGGCAACTGGGGGCCGGAGGGGGGGGGTCCCCTCTCTCTCTCTCTGCCACTTTCCTTCTGCAGCCACTTTGATTTGAGGGGGAAGCACATGGGGCAGGAGGGGCTGAGGACCAGTGCTGGATGCTGCCCCCCCGCCACAGTCAAGGGAGGGGTCTGCCCCACCTCAAAAACCCAGAAGAGCCCCACCTCTGCCCTGTGAAGCCCCATGTCCCCCCCCCCATGGTCCTGCTACATATACATACAAAAAGACCTTTGTGTGAATGGGTGGCACTCTTCACATGCTCAGGAGACCCCAGCAATAGGGAGGGAAGGAGGTGGGTGGCTCTCTTTGCCCTTAGTGGGGGCAAGGGGCTCTTCCTCTATTTACCCTGCAATCTCTCTGACCCCCTCCCCCATTTCCCCCAGGACCCTTCAGGACCAGTGCACTCCTCCTCCCCCCCACCCAAGGGGCAAACGGGCATGGCTCTTGGGGCAGGGGGGGAGCTCAGGTTGGCACCTCGGTTGGAAGGAAGGAGGGAGGGAGGGGCCTGGGATGAATTGCCACCCGTTTATCTCGTTTAGGAGGTAATCAGAGGCAGGACGTGCTGCGCAATTGAATCTTCCTGGCTCTGAAGGATCATAAATCATGCGCAGAGCGTGGCTTCTTTACAGGACGCGTCTAAAAGGGGGGAGAGCACGGCCAAAGAGCGCGTGGCGGCCAAGGCCTGTTGCATGACAACCCTGCGGGCGGGCCGCTGACCGGTCCAGTCTGGCTCACCTTTGGTAGAGAGGCAGGGGCTCAAGGGGGGGCAGGAAGCATGCCTCAACAGGACAGATCCAGAGATGCCTCCTCTCCACCTCTGCGGAGCTCCCTTCTGCCGCCCCCTCCCCAAGGGAAAGACTGCACATTGAAGCCCCCCAAGAGCATTTTGGGCAACTGAGCCTGAGAGATCAGTGCCACAGTGTCACTCCCCAGACCTCTGGAGATGAAGCCCCTTCCCCACCTATGTGTCCCGTTGGAGATGCCCCCCCATCAGCCTCTTGGGCTCACCCTCCCTCTTGCAAAGCTGCCCCCTTTCTGCCGCCCCCTCCCCAAGGGAAAGACCACGTTGAAGCCCCCCAAGAGCATTTTGGGCAACTGAGCCTGAGATATCGGTGCCACAGCGTCACTCCCCAGACCTCTGGAGATGAAGCCCCCTCCCCACCTGTGTGTCCTGTTGGAGATTAAGCCCCCTCCCCATCAGTCTCTTGGGCTCGCCCACCCTCCTGCAAAGCTTTCCTGGCGCCTCAAAAGGCTTCGAAGTGCTTCTCCATCTTGTGGGTGCCAGGAGTTGTCCCCCCCCCCTCAAGTGCCATAACCCACTGCTGCAGGGCCTGTGGGCGCAGAGGAGGAGACCCCCCCCTTTTGCCGGTGGGTCTGCCGCTCTGGCTGCTGTTTGCCTGGGAGGCGGAGGGGGCCGGTGGGGGCCCTCCCTGATGCGCTCATACAGGTTAGGAATATTGGGTTTAATGAGCTGCAAAATGAGGCGGCAGCGGCAGCGCGGTGACAGATACGAATGGCCCCCGCCTGGAGCGCCACGCACGGCTTGGAGGGAGGGGCTCTTCAGCAACCGGGGGGGGGGCAGCTTCCTCTTGACTATGGAGGGGAGGCACAGGGGGAGTGGGTGAGTGGCCAGAAGCAGTGCAGCCAAGACCCCCGAGTGGGAAGGGGTCTCCGTCCCCCACTGCACCGCTTTTGAGGGGAGGGCTTGGACCGGGGGCTGCTGCTGTCAGTCATGGCAGCCTTGGCGCTTCTGCTGGGGAGGGGGAGGCTGCCCACTCTCTCGCCCGCTGCTCCCCGGTGCCCTGGCTAATTTCCCCCTCATTTGGAGGCTTGTTGCGCCGGAGAAGGGGTTGCGGGGTTAACACCCATTAACAGCCGTGGCCGCCGGTGCGCGGTCCTCCGAAGCGCCGACATCATCAAGAAGCCATCAGGCGGCTGCCGACACTCGCTCTTCCGCTGCCCACTCGGCCGCAGTGCCCACCACGCACCAAACCTCCCCCCCTCCTCAGCGCAGCCCCCCCCCCAAGTTGAGATCCAGGGAGGGGCCCTCCTTCGTCTCTGCAACAGCCCCTCCTTGCCGCTCCTCAAATTAGCCAAGTGCTCCTCTAATTTCTCAGTTGGTCAGTCACTGAGCTAATGAGTTGGGGGGGAGCGCTGCCCGCCCGGCCCAGAGGAATGCTCTGAAATCGGGGAGGGGGGAGGATGGAGCCCCGCTCTCTCAAGGAAGCTCTTCCATTTGGCATGCCTACAGAAGCACACAAGGCCCTCCTGGCCCCATGGCATCACCGGGGGGGGGGGCAGTCAGGAGGGGAAGGGGGGTGCTCAAAAGAGTGGGTCCTTGGTTTTTTGGGGGTCCCTTAAGAAGGCCCTCATGGCCCCTGGATTCCCTTCCTAGGAGATTGTCAGGACAAAGTGGGATGAAACATGAGAGACATGGCTGGCGGGGGGGGGGGGGGGGGGGGGGGGGGGGCTTGAGGGGCTTCAGCCCCCCCCCCCCCAAATTCTCATGGTGGTCTGCAAAAAGGCCTTACTGGTACATTATTTAAACTATTATGTTTATTCATATCATGATCTGATCACCCATATGCATGGGGGTATGTGGGATAATGATACAAAAGGTTTGCTAGGGGTGACCCTCTCTCACTCAGACTCAGCCCCCCCAAAAAATCAAACTCAGCCCCCCCCCCAATCAAAATCCTGGCTACAGGCGGGGGGGGGGGCAATCAGCTAAGACCCTCTCTCTCTCTCTGTGTCTCTCTCTTCCCCATTACCCCCCCTACAGAGCAAGACGAGTCCTTTGAGTTCGTCCTGGTGTCACTGACCGGTCAGTCCTGGCTCTTTGAAGCCTCCACGGCGGACGAGCGGGAGCTCTGGGTCCAGGCCATCGAGAGCCAGATCCTGGCCAGCCTTCAGGGCTGCGAGAGCAGCAAGAACAAGGTGGGCCAGGGGCAGGGTGGGGGGTGATCTGGGGTGGGGAGTCCGGTCAAGGCTGTAGACGCTCTCTGGCCTCTTTAGCACTCGGAGCAGGCAAGAGTGCCTCTGAGCATTCCTCAGTCTGTTCAGCAGGGAGCAGACCCATCAGGGGATCTCATAATGTGGCAGTGAGGAGGGGGGCTCAGTTCTCCCCCCCCCCCCCCCCACGTACACACACACACATCACATAGAGTTACATCTCATGGTGTTTGGTGGTAGTGGGGGGTTCGGAACTGAAGGTGGGTGAAGGGAGACCCATGCCCCCTAATACCCCCCCCACACACACACACACACATGTTACATAGAGTGACATCTCATGGCGTTTGGTGGTAGTGGGGGGTTCGGAACTGAAGGTGGGTGAAGGGAGACCCATGCCCCCTAATACCCCCCCCCCACACACACACACACACATGTTACATAGAGTGACATCTCATGGTGTTTGGTGGTAGTGGGGGGTTCGGAACTGAAGGTGGGTGAAGGGAGACCCATGCCCCCTAATACCCCCCCCACACACACACACACACATGTTACATAGAGTGACATCTCATGGCGTTTGGTGGTAGTGGGGGGTTCGGAACTGAAGGTGGGTGAAGGGAGACCCATGCCCCCTAATACACCCCCCCACACACACACACACACACACACGTCACATAGAGTGACATGTCATGGCGTTTGGTGGGAGTGGGGGTGCAAAACAGAAGGTGGGTGAGGGGAGATCCATGCCCCCTAATAACCCCCCCACACACACACACACACACATGTTACATAGAGTGACATCTCATGGCGTTTGGTGGGAGTGGGGGGTTCAGAAAAGAAGCTGGGTGAGGGGAGACCCAAGCCCCCCAACTAGCCCCCCCCCCCACACTGACAGTCTAGGGGTGGGGCTCTCTTTCTTTCAGGCTCGACTGGGGGGACGCGGGGACGCTCTCGCTCTGCAGTCCATCCGCACGGTTCGAGGGAACAGCTTCTGCGTGGACTGCGATGCCCCCAGTGAGTGCCCTCCCCCCCCCCCCCAGAATGAATGAAGGTGGCCATGGGAGGGGCCCAGGGCTGGTTTTCCAAAAGGGATGCTGCCCCTCCCTGTGTTTCCCTGCGGGGGAGGGTACGCTTGGGTCTTACCTCCCCTTCCCCCCCCCCCCCACAGACCCCGATTGGGCCAGCCTGAACTTGGGGGCCCTGATGTGCATCGAGTGCTCGGGCATCCACCGCCACCTGGGCACCCACCTCTCGCGCGTCCGTTCCCTGGACCTGGACGACTGGCCGATGGAGCTGGTCATGGTGATGACGGCCATCGGGAACGCGCTGGCCAACTCCGTCTGGGAGGGGGCCACTGAGAACTACCCCCGCCCAACGCCCGACAGCTCCAGGTATGTTGATAGTATCATAGGATGCTCATGTGAGGCTGCCCTGAGTCCCCCTTGGGTAGAAATGCATGGAATAAAATAAATAAATAAATATACCTCCAGCCACGGGGGCCACTCCCTGGGGGGGGCTTCCCCTTCCTTTCTCCCATCCCAAGGCCTTTCCTGACCCACCTGCCTGCCAATGGGGAGCCAATGGGGAAGGGGCTCGGGACCAGCAGGGAGCCTCCCCCTCATGTCCAGGAGTGGAGAGGAAGGGGTTAACAAGTGAGGCGCTGGGAGGACCGAGGGGGCTGCCTCCCCTGTCCCCCTCCCCACTCAATGCCTGTCACTCACTCGTCAGCCGTGGACACCCAGACAAGAGGCCTTTTCTGCGCTCCCTTATCAGCGGATAAGAGCGGGTCAGGGGCCAGCAGGCGCTGCGCATGCTCCTCCGCCGGCGCATTGATGGCGCTGGGCCAGAGGCAGATGGACAGAATGGGCGGCAGATAGCGGGGTGCCGGCGGCATCGATCGGGGGCCCCTCGGCACCAGCGCCTTTGTGCCGAAGGAGAGATGCCAGCCGCGATACCAGCACCGCTACCACTCTCCTCTGCTTCCTGTCCTCCTGCTCGTCTCCCACAACATCCCACACACACACTGGCTGGCCTTTCCTGGGGGTGGGGGGGGTGCGCATGGGGACGAAGCACCAGCAGCCCCCCTCACCTGAGGGTTCCCCAGAGCCCTGCATGACGCACTGCTGTTTCTCTTCCCCCCCCCCTTCCGTAGGGAGGAGAAGGAGCGCTGGATCCAGGCCAAATACGAGCAGAAGCTCTTCCTGGCTCCTCTGCCACTCTCGGACGTCCCGCTGGGCCAAACGCTGCTCCGGGCCGTGGTGGAGGACGACCTGCGGGCCGTAGTCACGCTCCTGGCGCACGGGTCCAAGGAGGAGGTCAACGAGACCTATGGGGACGGCGACGGACGGACGGCCCTGCACCTCTCCTGTGCCATGGCCAACGTGGTCTTCACGCAGCTCCTCATCTGGGTAAAGGGACCCCCTCCCCCTAAATAATGGGACGCAAGACAACCTGCCCCCTGACCCCTCCACCCCTTGACTTCTGCTGACCGGTCCCCTTTCGTTCTCTCTCTGCCCGCAGTACGGAGTGGACGCCAAGAGCCGGGACGCCCGCGGCCAGACCCCCCTCGCTTACGCCCGCCGCGCCGGCAGCCAGGAATGTGTGGACATCTTGCTGCAGCACGGGTGCCCCAGCGATGCGGCCGGGGGAGGAGGGGGACCCCCCGGCACCCTGACCCCCAGCCTGCCCCGCCGCAACGCCAACAACAACGCCGCCTCCGGCCCCCTCTGCCCCGAGGGACCCTGACCTCCAAGGCCCCCCCATTGACCCGCAGCCAGAGCTGGCAAGAAGCAGGGGCAGACCCCCCTCCCTCCCAACATGGCGCCCAAGGACTTGTGGGGTGGCTGGGTGACCCCTTTTGCACCCCATTTGGGGGGGGGAGGCCCTGGAAGAAAGGGAAGTGGGGCCACATGGGCCCCTGAAGAAAGGGAAGCCCCCCCCCCCGCTCCATGGCTCACTGTTTGTAGCAGAAGCCCCCCTTTGTGTCCCCCTCCCCCGGGGCTACAGCAGCCCTTCTGGGCCAGTCTGGGGGCTCACTGGCTGACCCCTCCCCACAGACCCGTCTTAGGTGCTGCTTCTTCCCGCAGGCCCCTCCCCGCCGTCCCCTGTGTATAAAATGTACATTGGAAATATTTATATGATAGTATGTAAATAAGGGTCCTTGGCCGTCTGCCTCTGTGTGTCCGAGCGAGTGAGTGTGCCCCCTTGACCTTTGACCTGCGGCCTCGGAAGAGAAGCTGCCCAATAAAGACTCTGCCACTTGGCCGGATGGTGCTGCGTGCACTTGGGTTGCCTCCGTCGGGTTGGGTGGGGTAAGTGGGGGGGGGGGGCTGGCAGAGTGACCAGGAAGGGGCTGCCCACTCGTCCCCCTGCAGTTGGGGGCTCCATGAGATTGATGTGGATGCCTCCCCCCCACCACCACTTGGTATCATGTCCCCTGGGGAGGATCCCACCCTCCTCTCTGTAATCCCCCCCCCCCCATTGCAAAGCTGGGCTTGGAAATGTGCATCCACCTCCAACTTCCATTGGGCTTCAGTGCAATCCATCAACTCTTCTGGACAGCCATTAGTGAGGAGTGTTGGGAGCTGTAGTCCAGGCACCTCTGCTGGCACCTCATAAGGCCACACCTTCCTGGATGGAAGCCTGAGCACATACATGTACATACATGCACATATTGCTGCTCTCTCTCTGGGACAAGACCACACAGTGGGGAGACTCCCCCTCCCCTTTCAAAGGACCCTGCTCTTCTCTTTTTTGGGTGGCACCCAGGGAAGGGGGTCATAATACAGTAGGGGCAGGCATTGGGGGGGGGGGTCTCAATCTACTACAGCCTCTCACTTGGAGACACTTGTAGAGAGGGCTGTTGGGGTGCAGGCATGGCAGGGGGTGATAAGGAGGGCATGGATTATGAATCTCGGGGGGGGGGGGGGGGTCCTATTTATTTATTTATTTACGACATTTCTATGCCGCCCTTCTCACCCCGAAAGGGGACTCAGAGCGGCTTACAAGTAAAAAGTAAATACAATATATTATATTATTACCATTGCACAATATTAATATTATATACTAGCCGTCCCCTGCCACGCGTTGCTGTGGCCCACATGTGAGTTCTGTGTGGAAGTTTTGGCCCAATTCTATCGTTGGTAGGGTTCAGAATGCTCTGTAATTGTAGGTGAACTATAAATCCCAGCAACTACAACTCCCAAATGTCAAGGTCTATTTTCCCTAAACCCCACTAGGGTTTACATTTGGGCATATTGAGAATTTGTGCCAAGTTAGGTCCAGATCCATCCTTGTTTGAGTCCACAGTGATCTCTGGATGTAGGTGAACTACAACTCCAAAACCAAAGGACACTGCCCACCAAACCCTTCCAGTATTTTCTGTTGGTCATGGAAGTTCTGTGTGCCAAGTTTGGTTCAATTCCATCATTGGTGGGGTTCAGAATGCTCTTTGATTGTAGGTGAACTATAAATCCCAGCAACTACAACTCCCAAATGTCAAAATTCTATTTTTACAACTTGCAATGCTAGGAAGGGACCCCAAAGGCCATCCAATCTGACCTCCTTCCAGGCCTTTCTGAAGAACCAGCTTCTGTTTATGCAACTCTGCCGGACTCCCAGGCAGCAAGGGCAGCATCAGGAGCAGATCCCACACACAAGGATTCAATAGGAGGAACCTCTCCTTGTCATGTGAACTGATTCCTCCAGGCAATGGACTCTGGAGCGGCATTGAAAACAGGCTTGCAACACATACACACAAACACACACGACACCCTTTCATAGAATCCTAGAGTTGGAAGAGGCCATCCAGTCCAATTCCATTTTGCCAAGAAGCAGGAAGATGGCTACCCCATAATGCCTACCTCAGTCTGTGAGGCCTTCTCACATTATATTATATTATTAGAATAGCACAGGAGACAAGGCGGAACTGTCTTCCTGGCCCCCTCTCTCTTCACTCCGGCCCAGAGCAGCAGTAATTGTAATATCATATTATTATTAGAAGTAGAAGTAGAAGTAGTATTATGATATTGCGTTACATTATAATATTGTAAATATTATATGTATATACAATATATTATATTACTTTATATTATTGGAATAGCACAGGAGACAAGGTGGAACTGTCTTCCTGGTCCCCCCCCCCCCTTCTCCACTCTGGTCCAGAGCAGCAGTAATTATAATAGCATATCATTAGTAGTAGTAGTATATTGCATTACATTATAATATTATAAATATTATATGTATATACAATATATTATATTATTAGAATAGCACAGGAGACAAGGTGGAACTGTCTTCCTGCCCCCCCCCCCTCTTCACTCTGGTCCAGAGCAGCAGTAATTATAATAGCATATCATTAGTAATAGTAGTATATTGCATTACATTATAATATTACAAATATTATATGTATATACAATATATTATATTATTAGAATAGCACAGGAGACAAGGCAGAACTGTCTTCCTGGTCCCCTCTCTCTTCACTCTGGTTCAAAGCAGCAGTAATTATAATATAATATTATTAGCAGTAGTATTATATTGCATTACATTATAATATTATAAATATTATATGTATATACAATATATTATATTATTAGAATAGCCCAGGAGACAAGGTGGAACTGTCTTCCTGGCCCCCCCTCTCTTCACTCTGGTCCAGAGCAGCAGTATTATAATATAATATTATTAGTAGTATTATATTGTATTACATTATAATATTATCAATATTATATGTATATACAATATATTATATTATTAGCACAGTGAAGGAGACAAGGTGGAACTGTCTTCCTGGCCCCCCCTCTCTTCACTCTGGTCCAGAGCAGCAGTAATTATAATAGCATATCATTAGTAATAGTAGTATATTGCATTACATTATAATATTACAAATATTATATGTATATACAATATATTATATTATTAGAATAGCACAGGAGACAAGGCGGAACTGTCTTCCTGGCCCCCTCTCTCTTCACTCTGGTCCAGAGCAGCAGTAATTATAATAGCATATCATTAGTAATAGTAGTATATTGCATTACATTATAATATTACAAATATTATATGTATATACAATATATTATATTATTAGAATAGCACAGGAGACAAGGCGGAACTGTCTTCCTGGCCCCCTCTCTCTTCACTCTGGTCCAGAGCAGCAGTAATTATAATAGCATATCATTAGTAATAGTAGTATATTGCATTACATTATAATATTACAAATATTATATGTATATACAATATATTATATTATTAGAATAGCACAGGAGACAAGGCGGAACTGTCTTCCTGGCCCCCTCTCTCTTCACTCTGGTCCAGAGCAGCAGTAATTGTAATAGCATATCATTAGTAGTCAGGGCCGTAGCCAGAAAAAAATTTCGGGGAAGGTTGAAAATTTTGGGGGAGGGGGGATTGAAACCTGCCTCCTAGCTGAAAAAAGAGCACAGCAGGGGGCAGATCAGCCTTCAATAGCCTGCAGCTCCGCCCCTGTCAACCACCTCCACCAAGTCTGGCCTCCTTAATGAGAGCATTCAACACACACACCCCCAACTTGGTTGCTTCACTACATCGGCTATTGCTGCAAGTAATGACAGTGTGAATAAATTGTCAATATTTGCTTGAGATAGTGCTTGCAGTTCTGGAGGGACTCTTAATTTTTTGCATCTCATAGACTTAGCATGGGGATTTGGTTAACCAGTTAAAATTCATGAGTAAACCAGGTTTTAAAAAAAAATCTGAAACATTTGGGGGGGGGTTGAACCCCTAAAACCACCCCCTTGCTACAGGCCTGTTAGTAGTAGTAGTATATTGCATTACATTATAATATTATAAATATTATATGTATATACAATATATTATATTATTAGAATAGCACAGGAGACAAGGCGGAACTGTCTTCCTGGCCCCCTCTCTCTTCACTCCGGCCCAGAGCAGCAGTAATTATAATATCATATTAGTAGTAGTAGTAGTAGTAGAAGTAGTATTATTATATTGCGTTACATTATAATATTGTAAATATTATATGTATATACAATATATTATATTATATTATATTACTTTATATTATTGGAATAGCACAGGAGACAAGGTGGAACTGTCTTCCTGCCCCCCACCCCCTCTCTTCACTCTGGTCCAGAGCAGCAGTAATTATAATAGCATATCATTAGTAATAGTAGTATATTGCATTACATTATAATATTACAAATATTATATGTATATACAATATATTATATTATTAGAATAGCACAGGAGACAAGGCAGAACTGTCTTCCTGGTCCCCTCTCTCTTCACTCTGGTTCAAAGCAGCAGTAATTATAATATAATATTATTAGCAGTAGTATTATATTGCATTACGTTATAATATTATAAATATTATATGTATATACAATATATTATATTATTAGAATAGCCCAGGAGACAAGGTGGAACTGTCTTCCTGGCCCCCCCCCCTCTCTTCACTCTGGTCCAGAGCAGCAGTAATTATAATAGCATATTATTGTTAGTAGTTTTATAGTGCATTGCATTATAATATTACAAGTATTATATGTATATACAATATATTATTAGAATAGCACAGTAGACAAGGAGGAACTGTCTTCCTGGCCCCCTCTCTCTTCACTCTGGCTCAAAACAGCATTAATTATGATATCATATTATTAGTATTAGTATTATATTGCATTACATTATAATATTATAAATATTATATGTATATACATTATATTATATTATTAGAATAGCACAGGAGACAGGGTGGAACTGTCTTCCTGGCCCCCTCTCTCTTCACTCTGGTTCAAAGCAGCAGTAATTATAACATCATACTATTATTATTATTATTATTAGTAGCAGTATTTTATTGCATTATATTATTAGAATAGCACAGGAGACAAGGTGGAACTGTCTTCCTGGCCCCCTCTCTCTTCACTATGACCCAGAGCAGCAGTAATTATAATATATTATTATTATTAGTAGTATTATATTGCATTAGAGTCATAGAATCAAAGAGTTGGAAGAGACCTCATGGGCCATCCAGTCCAACCCCCTCTAGCACAGGAGACAAGGTGGAACTGTCTCCCTGGCCCCCTCTCTCTGCACTATGACCCAGAGCAGGAGTTGGTGCTGGGGGGGGGGAGGGGTCCCCAACTGATGAGATGTGCCAATGTCATCAGTTTAGAGCAGCAAATGGGCGCCCCACCCCTCGGGATCCCCCTGCCCGAGTCCAGTGGGGTTCCAGGCCCAAGCCCAGCCCCTCCCCCACACACGGCCACCC